TCACTGACAATTCCAAAGAACTTTAAAAAATTGTTTTGGATCAAACCAAAAATTACTTTAAAAGTTTTTGGAGAATTGAAACATTGAATAAACATCTGTTCAAAATGAACAACATATTTTGTTTTGACAACATCAAAATATTTCATTATGATTTTGACCATTTTTAAATATCTTTTATTATTTTTTAATATGTAAGCCCTGAAGCCTGAACCCAGCCCTAACTTGCTATCGCCAATACTAGGCAGAAGGGTTGCCAATGATTAAAGGACATCTTGAAATAAAAAGTCATTTCTAATCAAATGTCAAAACACTTTATTTTGAAAACATGAAAACAAAATATTTATTTTTTTCCTTATTTTTTTTCCTGCAATATTAGTCCTGTTCTTGACAGATTTTATGACCAGGTCCTGCCTCATACCAGACCTCTGATACAGGGCTTATGTCTCAGGCTCTCTTTCTACTACAATCTACAGGAGAATGATTTTTACAGAGGTAAAAAAGCTAATTCTTCTTAGTGTATGCGCAATATGCCTCAGGTGGTACAGAACAGGATTCATCACTGGATTCATTGCACAGAATAAGGGTATTCTGAGTTCTCTGACTTAGCAGTCAAAGAAAGGGTCACTTTCTGCCACAAGGATCAACTACAGAGATTTGAAGAGATCTGGGTTCCATTTTTAGAAACATCTAACTAGGGAACACCCAAAGTCACAGTGACCAATCCAGATTTCCTTCCCCTTCCCTTTCCCCTTCTCCCTCTCGACTCTTCCTTCACCTTCTTTCCCCCTCTGCTTTCAGACTTCCTCTCCCTGCCTTGTTCATGTTGTCCTCTGATTAGTTGTAAAGTGTTGATGTTATTTGATTTTTATAGTTTAATAGCGAGGTTGTAAAAATGATTTTTCTATATGTAAGTTATAGCTATGTTGTATGTTACAATGTTGTGCCAAAAGTGAAGCCATGATCTAGGTATGAATCATACTGGATGTCTTAGCAGCAACACTAGCTTATTTGCTTACAAATATAATAGGACATTCTCATTGCTGGAATGACACAATTGTCAGTGTAATTTAAGTGCCTTCTTCACTAGGAATCCAATGAAGACATTCAGATTCAGATTTACTATACAAGCTAGTGGCACTTTGCTCACACCACAGGTAGCAAGCTGAGGTTTGATGCACCTCAATTAACACCAATTTTAAATTATTTAGGAACAAGCTTGGATATTGTCATAAAACACTCCAGTCTGAACTCTGTAATGTTCCAGTTCAAATTAACTCGCCATGGTTAACACACAATTTTACCATTTGCCTGAAAGCTTCAATGTGTGTAACAGAGATTAAAAATATTAATGGTAAAAAATTGGATATAAATTCCCAGACAAATAAGTTTTAAAGCTGGAGTAAAGGTTGCGAGCATATTGTATCAACCTAAGGAAAACTTGTAAAATAATGATGTACAGTAGATTTTTAGAAAGTCAGGAAATTCAAGGTTAAACTTTAAAACTCCCTCAGGCATTTGAAAATGCAGCATTAAGGCAGCCTAAACAACTTTTATCTTTGCCTAAGTAATACACTATAATGCAAATAATCCACATAGAATCATAGAATATCAGAGTTGGAAGGGACCTCAAGAGGTCATCTAGTCCAACCCCCTGCTCAAAGCAGGACCAATTCCCAGCTAAACCATCCAAGCCAGGGCTTTCACATGATACAGTAACTATAACCTCCCCATATCCCCACATCCAGCATTGGAGCAACAGTGCCCAGGACATCCCCAATTTGAACATGATTGCCCAAGATACCCAGACTGTACCAATTTTGTCTTAACTATTTTCGACAGGAGAAATTATATGGGAGTATGAAATGAGCCTCCCACTATAATCATCCAGTCCCTCCAACTCCTCCTTCTGATGCCCAGTTTCCACGTCCTTCCCCAGACTACACTGCAGACCATATACAGAGATCTCAGCTGGAACTGCAGACGTGGAGTGGTGGTAGTAAAAATAGTGCATAGCAGCTAAATTCTAGTGCCCTAATGGAGCTTCAAGTTCTGCATATAAAGGTTCCCTTCCATGTGCAATCTTAGGAAGCAAAATCTTGGCCCCATTATATGTTGAATGCTGACAACATTCCCAGCATTGTAAGAAAAACACAGACAATCCCTGCCTCAAGGAACTTCCAATTAAATAAGATGAGAGAGAGCCAGCAAATCAAATAGAGCCCATTACATAGGCAGTCATTATTATCATTATATATTTGTATTGTGGTAATCCGTAGAGGCCCCAGCTCCATTGTATTAAGGTAAGGGCCATACAAACATATAATAAAGCTAGTACCTGCCCTGAAGACTGTATACTTACAATCCAAGTATAAGACAAAAGACAACAGGAAGTCACAACAGAGCTGGGGGAGCAGAAGGTAACAATGAAACAATAGTGGACAGTCACTGAACACCAGCTTCATAGTCATTGTTGAGTGATTTTAAGCATCATGGAAGTAGATAAAATAACCTAAAACAGCTTTTTCTGTACCTAAAATTGTAAGCTGGGAGCTAGTGCAGGGTTTCTATGAGAATTTTCCCTTTCCAATTATTTAAAAAGTGCCATTTAATCTATTAAAATTCATTCAGAATGTCATCAAAATAGTAGCTTCAATGTAGATTTTACTTGGTGGGTTTTACCCAGGAACAAACACATTTGGGATACAGATATAAAGCCAATTGTCATAACTCCGACACAGAGATAATACGTGGATTTAAACAGGATAATCTTATTTAGAAAATCATTACTTTCCATCATCACTTTAAATGATATACTTTGTACAAGATTTGTTGCAATTGTCTAACCATGGCAATACCATTGATATGCATGGTCGTATTTCTATCATACAGCATCATACTGGCATAAACAGAACCCCTATTATACTGAGTAGTGCTATGGGCTGAGCAAAGCTTTCTGTTTAACAGGAGTAAAAGGTGGGTGAAGTAATATCTCAGGTAATGTCTGAGGTAATAACTTTTATTTTTATTCTGTTTAACAGATATATTTTTCAGTTTATCTTTGTATACTTAAGGGGCTTCTCACTCAGGTAGGGTTAGCATCTCACGTCATTACTCTGAACTAAAATAAGTTAGAATTTCACCTTAAACTGAACTAGGATAAGTAGCTTGCCTGCTGTATCCCAACTGATTGGTTTTTTGATGCAGAAGAAGGCTGCATTACCAGTTACTTTAGTGTACTGACGCTTTAAAGAGGAATTTTCTATTCACAAAAATATACATCAATAGTTTGGAATACTTGCAGAAGAATTTAAAGGAAGTAAGAAATGAATGAGGAGTCAGGAAGTACTGGTTCAAGCGATGGCTGCTTAGAAGAGCTTTGATTCACAACCAGGGGTGTTTTCTGGGAAGAGTTTGTGTATAAGATTTTTTTGCAATATTAGTGTGCCATATTCTACCATGATCTCCATTTATAGTGAATTGTTCTCCTTCCCCTGCCTCTCTCTCCCCAAAACATGAAATGCTTTAGTGTTCCACTGCATTTTCAGGTTTCAGAGTAGCAGCCGTGTTAGTCTGTATCCGCAAAAAGAACAGGAGTACTTGTGGCACCTTAGAGACTAACAAATTTATTAGAACATAAGCTTTCGTGGGCTTCTTCAGATGCATCCGAAGAAGTGGGCAGTAGCCCACGAAAACTTATGCTCTAATAAATTTCTTAGTCTCTAAGGTGCCGCAAGTACTCCTGTTCTTTTTACTGCATTTTCAGTAAACCAAAAAGATGAATATTAATTCAGAAGAAAAGTACATTTAAATCTATCTGGCTTGTATTGTACTTTATTTCAGAATTTGTTTCCTAGAGAGTTGAAAATTTATTTTTGTGGTATGAGCATTGTGATTCCGGTGCATTTTGTTGCTTTTAAATATTGCCTACTGCATTGTATAGAAAGAGCTAAGGATGTTTGTAGGCAATTACTGTTGCTCATTGCATTTTCACTCAGATAAAAACGATATCTTTAGAGAGGAAAAGAAATAGGTGAGTCAGTAACAGTAGCCACTTATTTTTCCAGCTTTGTGTATAGCAAAGAGATCTCACAATTTTCCATAGAAACGAACACATGACTTTTTAAGGTTTTATTATGTTTCAGAGAGAAATGAACATGTGCCGGTACTTAAAAAAAAAATCTCTAAACCACTAATCAAATCAAAAGTAACACAAAAAATATGAACGCAGTGAAGTTTACCAAGTTACAGAGAGACACTTTTTGGCATGGTGCTTCTATTATATTTATATAATATTTAATTAGGAAGCTCTGGTTCATACTTTCCATCACAAAGCTGAAGTTACATCACAGAGTCTCTAACATAATAGAATAGTGATAGGAAAAAAGTCCACTAAGGCAAGCTGAGGAAATATTATCGTTTGGTATAATTACTGCTCAATATTGTATTCAAAAGCTCGTGTAAGTAGAAACATGATTTGAAAGGAGCCATGTTAGTTTCTCCCTATCATGTCCCTATCATGTCATGTTCCTTGAAGTGAATGCAACTATCTGCACAAGTAAAGGTTGCAAAAGAAAGTCCTTTACTTGTAAGTAACCAAAATAATGTGATTGTATCACATTACAAATAAAGTGCTTTAAAAGTAACTCTATTACCAGAAGAAAACTAAAAGGGAAATGTTTAAGGACCCTGCTTTCAAAATCAAGTTTGATTCCCACGAATTAGGGTCTGTCGCCTAAAGCCGCAGTAAAAGAAAACTTAAGCACCTTTAAAGGATAAACCAAAACAGGGTTTATTAATAGGGAAGGTAAAGAATATAAAGCAGGTATGGAACAGATCTAGAACAGATACGAAACAGGTATAAACACCTTGCTGTTTTTACCAAACACAATGGGCATGAAGCCCAGACCCACTTGGATAAATGGGCTAACAAACAAATAGTAATGTTACAGTTAGATGACCATAGGCTGGATGGACTCAGCTCACTTCTGTCTTTCTCACAGGTAATGGGAACCAGGACCGGGAACTCGGAGGATCACTCCACCAGGGATCAGGAATGGCAGATAACCATCACCAGATGGATTGCAGGTAGGTTGTTGATGTTATCTCGAAGAACTGCGCAATCCGAACTCAGGAACACGGGCTGCCTCCTGAGCAGACAGCAACCTGTCACGCTACGTCAGTTCCTTATTACCAAGCTGATTACTTAGAATCATGTGACCCTTTCCCGCTCCTTTTGTCTGAGTGTCCCATCTTTGCTCAGTTGCTGGACAAGATTACATAAACACTGACCAATCAAAAATTAGACACCACAAAAAGGGCACCAAGCCAAGCATGAAGACAATGCATCAAAATGGAGGGTAAAAGACAATGACAAAAACAAAATGGCTAAAATTCCCAACAACTCAGAGATGGCACAGTGTTCTGCTGGTGACTAGGGATGACTAAGAGTGTATGGTAAAGATACAGTTGTGAAAATCTTGCCTCCACTCCTCTCAGTGTCCATGATCAAGGCATGAGGCACACTTTTTTAAGTCTGGGTGTAAAATAAGCTAACTATTTTTTTTTTTAATTCCTATAAAAAGTTGGGTGGGCAGCTCTTCCTGTGTGTAGTCACAAATAGCTAAGTGGCTCTGAAAATTCTGGTCTTAGTAACATGAAAGTTGCAAAATTAGGAAGATCTGTATTTAGCCGCAGACTAAATCCAATCTTCTTGTGAAATGTAGTGTACTGAAGGCAAACTGGCAAAGTGCTACTGTATTATGGTAAATTTAAATATCAAATAATCATGCAAATACTTAAAAATATGTATTAACAAACCCTTGTCAAAGCAACTCTTGTTGAGTTTGACACAGGCTTCATAACAGGCCATCCAAATGAGATATTTAGGTAAACATGACAAAATTAGCATGCCAGTATGGAATAGTGGTATTGTGGGTGGGGCGATTAAACAATGATGGGATTTTTGATGTGCAAAATGAGGCTTCAGAGAAAGATAGTCACTGTTGTCCTGATCACTGATTCCTTTTTGCACTGAGTGCACGACTGAACTACAATTTATATTGCACCATCATCTGATTACTCTCATCCAAAAAAAATTATTCAGTAATTAGCAAAATATGCAGCTTGCAACTGCAGTAAAAATTTCTTTTCAGGCCTTCCTAAAGGTAAGCAGCCAACATCAACAAAGTTCTGTAAATTAAACTCATTTTCTTCTGTAAATTAAACTGCTCATTTTCTTTTTATATTGTATTTTCTTTATCTGAAATTTAAATATTTACTGAGCAGTTATGGTCTGTTAGAAGCAATGTTCTTTGACACGGTGTCAAACAGCAAATTGCTTTGCGGGGACTCTAAGAAGCTAAATTTCTATAAAAAAACATTTTTCTTCCAATTGAATGATTCTTTGTAATAGGAAAAAAGACTATTTTATTACTTAAATTGAAACACAATCTCAGATCTCCAAAATATTTGTATAAAGTCAATCAAGTCATCAGTAAAATGAAAGCTGTCACTTGGACACATCCATTTTCCCCACCATAGGTGGCGAGTTACATGGGCCCATGGTGCCTGGGCATCAGGAATACTCCTGGCCCGGCTCAAGCAATGTTTGAGGCCAGGTCTCTCCCTCGGCCCCGCCGTCTGCCCCCGGGTGCTGCCCCCGCATGTCCCCCAGGCCATTTAAAACGGCCTGGGGCCCCCACCCACCACCAGCAGCGCAGAGGAGCTAAGCGGCTTCCTGCCTGCTCGATCTACATGGCTGCTGGCCCCTCCCTGTGGCCCCTGGGCGGGGTGAATCTGTGTCTATGCGCGCTGCTCCTGCTCCAAGCGCCCCTGCGGCCAATAGGAAGCTGTGGGTGCAGTGCCTGGGACTAGCAGCATGCGGAAGCCCCCCAGCCCGCCCTGCATAGGAGCCCCAGATGAGCGCTGCACCCCCCGACCCCCACCGTTTTCCCGCACACACCCTCCCACCCCCAAACTCCCTCCCAGAGTCTGCACCCCTCAACCCCTCCTCCTGCATCCCCACCTCCTGCCCCAGCCCAGAGCCTGCACCCAAACTCTCTCAGAGCCTGCACCCCCACCCCTTCCCACACACCCCCTCCTGCCCCCAAACTCCCTCCCAGAGCCTACACCTCCACTCCCTTCCCACGCATCCCTTCCTGTCCCCAAACTCTCAGAGTCCACACCCCAACCCTCCACACCCCTCCCATTCCCAAACTCCTTCCCAGAGCCTGCACCCCTATCTCCAGCCCAGAGCCTGCACCCAAAGTCTGTCCCAGAGCCTGCACCCCTCATCCCCTCCTGCACCCCCAACCTCTGCCCCAGCTCGGAGCCTGCTACCAGCACCCAAACTCCATCCCAGAGCCTGCACCCCAGACCCCTTCCCCCACCCAAACTCCCTCCCAGAGCCCAACCTCTCACCCCTTCTGCACCCAAACTCTCTCCCAGAGCCTGCACCCCAATCCCCTGCCCCAGCCCCGGGCCTGCACCCCAGACCTCTTCTCCCCACCCAAACTCCCTCCCAGAGCCTTAGGCAGGTGGGAGGCGGAGTTTGGAGGGGCGGGCTCTGGGCCTTCTGGGCACCACCAAAATTTTTACAAACCTGCCGCCCCTGTTCCCATTGTCCTGGATAACAAGGAAAGAGCCCAAGTTTGTCAGGCGAGAGAATGAATCATTGTAGAATAATAGATGTCAGTGGTGGAAAAGACTTGTGAAGTTACCTTGTCCATTGCTTTGCCACAGAAAGATTGATTGATTGTTTTCTACAGTAGCTTTGTCCAGTCTAGTGTTAAATTTCTTGTTGAGAAGAAGAGCTTAGAAGAATTCAAAAAAGATAGACATTTATATGGCTACAAAGAATGTCCAGAGTTATTATATTAAGGATTTTTGAAAAAATAAAGAATTTTGGAAACAACATCCTTCACAACATAACCCAACTTATAACAAATGGGAGTTGGGAAGAGGTATACCTGCCCTGCACTGGACAGGAAGGGGTTAACCTCATACTGTGGGTTGAGGAAGCCACACCTCCTTGCCCTGCTGGGCATGCTCTAACTGGAACTAAGTATAAAAGGGGGAAGCTCAGCTTAGTGTGCCTTACCAGGGAGGAGAGAAAACATGCATTGCAAGCTCCTACCTGGGAGCTGTCAGAGCCCCAGGCCACAGAGGCCAGGCCTGGCCTGCCAAGACCGAGGTGAATACCAGGCTGTCCATAGAGACCAATGAAGGGAAGGAGTCGTTGGGAGCTTCGCCTGCCAACTACACCCAGAGAACCAGAGAACCTGCGGACTACAGAGCAGGAAGGCAGGGTAGTAAGTAGCCCAGGGAACCAGAAATTGATCTGGGTGTGAAACCAGAAGCTGAGTCAGTGTGTTTCAGATGGATCCCCACTGACCCAGTGGTGAATACACTCACTGCTGATAGGGCCTTGGATTGGTACCTCCTGGAGTGGGGAGGGGCTGGGTAGCCCTACATTGGCCGCCAACCCACCCATCACCCCCTTTGTCACACTGCCCTGTGAAGAAGGGTATGCCCATTGACGCTGGCTATTAGGCCATACCACAGTGCACTAAAGGGTGGTCCTACTGACTGGCTGCTAGGCCACACTGCCCAGAGCAGAGGAGCCATCCCTTTGACTCTGGCCATTAGGCCATTCCACCCTGCACTAAAGGGCAGTCCCATTGACTCTAGCTACTATGCCACACTGCAGAAGAGGGGCAGTCTTATTACCTCTGGCTACTAGGTCATAGCACCTGGTGCTAAAGGGTGATTCTATTGATCCTGGACACTAGGCCTGACTGTCCTGAATCTAATCTAACCCTGACCATTAGACTGTACTGCTCTGAGGGGAGTGGTCTGTTGGACTTGGTCGCAGGGCCAATACCCCCTAGGGGGTGACAGGTAGGGTGCCCAGATAGCAAGTATGAAAAATAGGGACAGAATGGGGGGGAGGGGGAGTAATAGGGACTTATATGAGAAAAAGCCCCAAATATTGGGACTGTCCCTATAAAATCGGGATATCTGGTCACCCTAGCAGGGTTTACCTACCCCACAACAGGGGCTGATGATTCCACACTGCCTACTGCAGGGTTTCTTCTTATATGTTCCTCTAAAGCTCCGGGTACAGGCCACCATTAGTGAAAAGAGACAGGGCTACATTTCTACATTCTTAAGTAAGGAGCAGGGCCGGCTCCAGGCACCAGCTTGGCAAGCAGGTGCTTGGGGCGGCTACTCCGGAGTGGGGCGGCAGGTCCAGCTATTCGGCGGCAATTCAGTGGACGGTCCCTCACTCCGGCTCGGAGCGAAGGACCTTCCACCGAATTGCCGCCGCAGATCGTAATCGCGGCTTTTTTTTTTTTTGGCTGCTTGGGGCGGCCAAAACCCTGGAGCCGGCCCTGGTAAGGGGGCTTCCACAACTTCCCTTGGCAACCTATTCTGTAGTGTAGTATGCTATGAGAGCTCTTCTCATGATCATGCCAAGTACCTTCTATACAATATTGGTCAGTTCAACAACACCTATAGACATCAGTAGGCATTGAAACTTTGCAGCTCGGGAATGTCTCTATATTATCATTTGTTTAACTAATGAAAGCAACTTAATGTGTACAGCTTCTAAATGATTAATTTGCAGTCCCACCAACTCTTTTTTGTTTTCCCTCCACTTCCAATGTAAATAAAGACTTTGTATTCTTTGTTTGCTTTCACAAGAATCAGAGACTTTTACTTTGATAATTGTAAACAAGACCTACAGAAGCCACAGAGGATAGATCTGCAGCTGTAGCTGTCTTGGAAACAATAGAATATTATCAGGAGATGCAATATGTCATTGAAAGTAATGAAAATGAGACCTATACTTCAACTTCTTAGATAGGGACCTACTTTATGCTGGCTTACAGCAGTCTCATAAAGTATGCAGGTATTGAGACCTGTTAGAGATTTTGGAAGTTAGGCCTTTGCTCATGATATGAGCAGATGTTCTGAATTGAAACAGTTTTGGCAATAAGTTAAGAACAGCATCTCTATCCTCTTAAAGAATACAGCTTACTCTGGCTCCAGCCATGTGTGTTGGGAATGAGATCAGGAACTAAGAATGATTCTACTTCAGAGGCATTGTTCCTTGGCTAAGTGTATTCTCTATGGCCAAAAAAAAAGATTTCCAACAGGAAAAGAGTGAATGCTTTAATCGTGTGAATTACATTAATCTTTTTGAGAGTGCTATAAATTACCAGGGTGGACTCAATGAAATTATAAATCCAGAAATGTTATCAAAAAGCCATTATGAAACAGAGACCTTTTATAATAGAAAATTATCTTTTGACAGATAATGCAACTTGAGATCAAGACTTTACCTTTCAAAACCTATTTATATAAGATCTGGGTTTTTTTACATAAAATAAAACCTCTACATCTCACATCACAAGCTCTGAAACTGGGTTGTGTCTCTCACATTTTGATGTAGCTCTTCCTCCTAACTTCCTCCTTTCCCATAGGTGCTAGAACTAGGGATGCTGGGGGTGCTGCTGCACTCCCTGGCTTGAAGTGGTTTCCATCATATACAGGCTTTACAGTCTGGTTTAATAGTTGTCAGCACCACTATACAAATTGTTCCAGCACCCCTGCCCTTTCCCCTTTCAGATAACTAGCACCTGGGATGGGTCGGAGGTCAGTGAAAGGGATCATGGTCTACACTCCCCAATGCGATTCTGGCTAGCAATTGTGCAAGAGCAGAAGAACTCCCTGTACTTCCTTGCCTTATGCACCATTCAGGGACTGACCAGAATCTGGCCCCAGATAATCCTCTATGGCTCAGGTGATGCTTTTGGCAAATCACTCAGCATCATAGAAGATATTGATTGTTGTATAGATGTGGCACCATTCCTATGTAAGGATACAATCCCTAAAATATGGATATTAATAATATTAATCAAGGATTAAACAATATGCTGCATTTTGGGCCAGATCCTAAATTGGTATAAATCCGCATAGCTCCATTGACATCAGTAGAGTTATGTTGATTTCTATCAACCGAGAAACACGGTCTTTCTTGCATGACTTTGTAAAGGACTAGACAATATGCTAAAGTATTGGTATATCCATGGAATGTGTTAAAGATTACCTAAAGCCATATTACACATAGCAATACATTCCCCCAGGATAATAACTCTTGTACTAAAATAAGGAATAAATTAAATGATGATTTTATTACAAGAACAATAGGTGAAACACCTGTAACCATATGTGTTTACATCATATTTGAGACCAGTTAACATATTCAAGGGTATGTGTTTGAGTGTGTAATGATGGTTAATATGTAATCAGTTAATTTACCTGCTTAACAGGTGTAATAGGGGATTTTCTAAGCTAAATATAAATATACTAGTATGCCAGGGGCTATGCCATTAAAGTAAAATGTTGGTACAGAGATGTTCAAGTTGACTGGTGGTGAACATTTGTGTAGTCCAAATGATTACATGAAAATAATATATAAAAAACTGGTGACCTCTGCATTTGATACATTAAAATCAATAAGATATGTCCTTCTATTGGACTATACAGTTAAGATGCAGAAAGTGTGCTTTATTCAGCTATTGTTCAAGACAAGTCTCTTTTCTTGAGGGGACATAAGAAGTGAGGCTCACCTAGCAGCACTGAATTGCTTCTCATGAGCCAGATGGATGGGAGATCAGAGAGAGTTAGATCCTTGGCTAGCCATCTTGCTTGTACTTACATAGTGCTATAAGTGTGTGTGGTGCTTTAGAAAACAGATAAAGACTCAATCTGAAAAGATTACAAACCAGAAGTCCCATTCCTGCAATGAGCTGTGTGGGCAGATCCCAGTTAGTGACTATTTAGACTCAGATGATGTATCTAAAAAGATACTAGATTCATGTTTCCTGAATTCATTTCACTTATGACCATTGCCAACTGTCAGATCAAAACGTTTCTCCTGTAAACTTTTCTTGGGTAAGACAGCAGGTCTCCAAAGAGAACAACCTGTATAGAAACACAGCAGGGAATTTCCCCAGACTCACTATTTCTCATTTTATTATATATGGAAATGTGATCTGTGACAGTTTAACATTTTTGGCAGGGCTTCATACGGAAGACTTTTTCTGTTTGGAAAACATTATCATGATGAGAAAATTAATGAAAAAATAGTTCTCTAAAAGCCTGATCCAATATTCATTGAAATAAATCTGAGGTTTTTTAATTGACAGCAGTGGACATTGTCTCAAGCTTTAAATTGCATTTAAATTATGAGACACTGAATAAGAGATGGGCCCAAATAAATTTGAACATAGGGACTCAAAATCCAGATTTCCCACCAAAATTACTATGAACCAAAACCAATGTATTAGAGCTGTGAAAAATGATGCAAACTAGAATCTAGAGTTTTGGTTCAAAATCATTTTTATAATGAAGCTTAAAAAATAATTGAATCACAGCTTCATCTAAAAGATTTCCCCGCAGCAGGGGTTTTTCCTGATGAATAAATAATAGTCTTATCTTTTAAAAAGACTGATTGGTTTGAAGAGATAAAATGGGCCTTTAGGGTCAGATTTTTAAAGCTATTGTTTGACAAGTGCTATTTTAACTAGGGGGGAGGGGTTTAATTGTATTCTTAATGAGAGATTGGGTAGGAATCATTTGGAACTGCATCCACTGTCTGCTCAGCAAATTGCAACTCATTTACAGGCTTCTGACCCGACTGATGTGTTGCAACATTTCACCCTTATCTGCAGCTGTACTCTTGGTTGTGTGAGTGACAGCTCTTTCTCTATGGCCCATTTGGACCATTTGTATTTTACCTTGTCACTTGTCTCATTTGCTTGCCAGTTGTTTCTACTGGTATTTCAGATCATGGTTTGGTCTTATTTGTCTTGACTCTTACTTCTATCAAGACTGTAAGCCATACTAGCATATTAACACTCCTTTTACAAGAGGTTCACTTTCGGGACTCTTTCAGTTATTTTGGGATGCCTGTGTTGCCTCAAAGAATGCTTTTCCCTCCTTGAGGAAATGGTGGGAGGATGGTATAGTTTAATATTAAATGTTTTTTGTCAACAATACCCTCAGTAGATAACCCTGGGCCTTCACTGGGGTATGGAGGAGTTAAAGTTGAGGATTGTGGAACTAGAAAAGTCTTTCATGGCAGTGTAAGGTGATTTTTGGTACATGGTCATATTCTGTTACGAATGTTGCTGCAATTCAAAATGGAGTTGAGAAATTCAAGATGGCTCATATGATAGAAAGGGTTTGAACTCCATTATGGTACCCTTTCTTCATGGTATTTTCCCACCAAAACTCCGTTTTCCTCACGGAACCAGAGGGACAGAGAACTGTCTGGAACCAGTTGGGAGCAGTGCCTGTCAGAGTGTGCCTCATAGATTCTAGGACTGGAAGGGACCTCGAGAGGTCATCGAGTCCAGTCCCCTGCCCTCATGGCAGGACCAAATACTGTCTAGATCATCCCTGATAGACATTTATCTAACCTACTCTTAATGATTCCACAACCTCCCTAGGCAATTTATTCCAGTGTTTAACCACCCTGACAGTTAGGTTGGACATTAGGAAAAAGTTCCTAAACCTTCCTTGCTGCAGTTTAAGCCCATTGCTTCTTGTTCTATCCTTAGAGGCTAATGTGAACAAGTTTTCTCCCTCTTCCTTATGATACCCTTTTAGATACCTGAAAACTGCTATCATGTCCCCTTTCAGTCTTCTCTTTTCCAAACTAAACAAACCCAGTTCTTTCAGCCTTCCTTCATAGGTCATGTTCTCAAGACCTTTAATCATTCTTGTTGCTCGATGTGCGCCTCAGAGAGCATATAGGGACTGTTCGTGGTGACGCAGGCGCTGTCCACTATCAAGGCAGCCATGTCCAGGTTCTTTGTACGGCATTAGATCACGACTTCGGCTACTAACATCTGTCAAGGACTCTGATACTTACCTGACTCCTGTAATCCACCAAAGGATCCAGTGAAGACTGTGCTATCCGCTCAGATCTGTTGATCTCCTGCTTCGACAATAGAGTCAGATCCTCCGATGTTCCAGAGATCCTGAGACGGACCATCCGTTGCCGGTGTCCTCCATCTGCAGCTAGAAGAGAGTCGGTAATTATTTTTCAGGCATTTATTAGTTTAGCCAAGGGACAGTTTAAGGGCCTGGGCTTTATGCCCCCTTGCTGGACTGTATTTGTGGGTATTTGTAGTGTTCCCCATAATGAATCTTCCCCCAGTTGTATCTATCCCTTAATAAATCTTCTTTCTATTTAAGGTTATATTCTCTCTATCCTTTATTTCAATGCAACATGGGCGGGAGGCACACAGATTTCTAATTCTCCCAGCTGATAGATGCTGGTAGGAGTCGAATCTGTTTTATATGTCACCTTCTTATTATTCCACACAGAGATTTTGGGGTAACAGCGGTAATGATGCTGGGTTGAATCAGAGCCTGAAATATAAAAACCAGCTCTTGAAGAACCTGTTGGATAGCAAAGGTCAAGGTTCACTGCGTAGGGCCCAATTTCAGGGCATTTCTGAAATGAATCCATCTGCATAATTTTTCTGCACAGCTTAGAAAAGAAACAATGCTGAGTAGAAGATGATTGGTCATTTCAAGATGTCATCAGGTCAAGAGTTTTCAGATCCTGTGTGGATTAGGAATTTTGCTGTGATTTTTTTTTTCTCAGACCTGTATACCACAGAGCCTGTGTGTCCATGTGAGATTTGGCAGCGCCTTGAGGAACTTCCGAGGATCTCAACATTGAATGAGGACAGATATAAACGGGACCTGATACACTCAGAATTGATTTCTGCCCTAAATGGTTTTGCTCCAAGGAAGGTACCTGGTATTGATGATTTACATATTGAATTTGATAAGGCCTTTTGGACTTCCCTCCAGGTTTTTCAGGAGAGCATCAGAAAGAAGCTTATTTGTTGTCAAGTGAGTCTTACCCTGTTGCTCAAGAAGGGGGACTTTGGGGAGATGAGGAATGGGAGACCTGTGTCCCTGCTTTGCTCTGACTGTCAACCTTTTGCAAAGGCCTTTACAAATAGATTGCAAACTGTGATTGGTATGGTCATCCATGTTAATCTAGACTATCAGGACTAACTGTGATATCCTTTTCCTACTCTGGCATCAAAAATGTTTCATTTGCATGTTGAGTTGATTTCGCTTGATCAAGACAAGGCTTTTAATTATGTAGATCATGGCTATTTGTTTCACATCCTTTGTGATTTTGGTTTTGGGCCCAGGGTTGTATCCAGCATTCAGTTACTGTATAATGATATATATAATCTACTTAAGGTGAATAGGGTTTTAAGTGCTCCCTTTCCAGTCAGTAGGGGAATCAGGCAGGGTTATGATATGCTCTGTTGAACTTTTGTTATGCATGTAACAAAACTGGTTCCTTTAATAGATTTTACTAATTTTACATGGGTCTCAGCAGATATCTTGTCTGTCAAGCTTGGTTTCCATTCCTTTCACTGGGTTTCTTGTGGTGTCTTTTTTTTTTTCCCCCAAGAGGTGGATTCGCCCCTTCCTAGGGGCAATATTGCCAAGCTATAGACAGTTGCCTCCTTGAATGAGCCATTCCCGATTATACTAATGGTTCTATTTTCTACCTGTTGCTCTTACTGTGGATTGGGGTGCTGACAAGCCCGGCAGCTTGCTTGCCTTCAGTGAGTCTCTGAATGTACTTTTAATGGTTTACTCTGTAAATCATTGTATATGCTTGTGGTAAAGGTTTGTCATTTTTAAACACTTAGTGATTATCCCTATATGGTATGGAGAAGACAGCTTCTAGTGACAGACTCCAGCCAGCCAGCCTGGTGAACTGTATACAAGCCTCCAATTAGAAGAGGATGGTGATCTCTAATGGTGAATTTGTCATGGAACTATTGCCATGAATGTGTTTGTTTATCATTAGACTCTGGTGGTGTCCTTGTCATGTTCTTTTTGTGACATGGAGACAGTTTTCATTTGTTTTCATATGTTGTTCGAAGTTACAGCCATTATTTGTTTTACTACAGGATGTTTTTTGGTTATCATTCCTACTGTATTTTTACTATTTAGTATAGGTTCACAAATAGGTTGATAGTATGCCTTGCAAACCTTATTTTGGAACAAGTAAAGATGTCCATTTTAAAAATATAGGTGATGTAAATTATTTGGTAATGGGGTTGCTGACATTCTTCGGTCTTTTAGGCTTTTGTTGGTTTTACACCTTCATTTGGAGTTTAGATATTACACTCTTATAAGTGATTTGGATCAATTTATTCAGAGGTGCGCTGAAATGCTCTTTGTACTATTCGGGAAGGGCACTTATTTTTGAATTTGTAAATTATCTTGTTTTTACTGTGTTTCTGTACTGATTTTATAAAGTCTCTCTCTCTCTCTCTCTCGCCCAATGACTCTAATTATTTACTCACAGTGAAACAGTTTCAATAGGAGAAACTGAGGGAGTCCCCACATCTTGATATCCTATAACCCAGTGGTTAGTATATTCACAGCAGAGGTGCCTGGTCCCTGTTCAATTCCCTTCTTCCCCTCAGGTGGAGGGGAGACTTGATCTGGGACATCTTTCACATCCCAGGAGAGTGCCTTAACCACTGGGCTAGGCATTATTAGGGTGTTGCCCCTTTTCACCCTGTTTTGAATGTTTTGTCAGAGTCTGCGGTCTGGCTCCAGTACAGAGCTCTGAGCAGATTTACTGGATTGGATGAATTAGATGGACCAAAGTCTATCTTCCCCTGATTTATGCATCAGTTTATGGATCTGAACATCTAGAATAGGTCCGTAGTGCACCTGTGCATAGGAAGAAACTTAGGTGTCTAGGAAACTTTTACAGCAGAAATTTAGACCCCAAGTGAGTTTTGCAGGGCAGCAACTGAGCAGGGATTTTGTGAATCCCAGTGGGGCCTGATTCTGGGAATTAGGCACATAAGTCCTTTTATGAATCTAGCTCCTCGTGTGGAAGATTAAGTTGAGGTAAAAAGGATAATTTGTGAGGTTGAAATAGAGTGTGTTTGACAGAAGTAGTCAAACAGGTTTTACATTGGCTGACTGGCTTCTAAAGGGGTTTCGCTTAAGCTGCAATTATAAGTAGGAAAAGCTATCTGAACTCAGTTTAATTACTATTGCAGGGGAGATCTGGCAAAGCAGGGCCTTTTCTTTTGTGGGCAATTAAAAGTGAAATGTGAGAGAGCTATAAGCAGAATATATGTATTAATCTTCTAGATGTTTTTTGTGTTTTGAATCTCATGCATTTCTCTCAGATGTCATTTTATTGTATTATCTTTTATGGCATGTGATTAAAGATTATTTAAAACTTTCTACTGCCAATGTCCAAGCTCTGTTGGATTGCATGGAATTGAAGAGTTCTCCCAGGAATTGCCATTGCTTTGTTGTCACAGAAACAACAATGCATTCAGTAATTAAAAAAAAAAAAGTTCAAAAAGTCTCAGGGTAGGTTGCAGAAGGAGATGCTTATATTGTAAAATAAAATATATTCCCAGTATATTTGAGCCAAAGAGCCTCTACAGCAGCTCACAGTTCCTGCCTATCTGACCGTGCTGAAGGGGTTGGCCAAAGCTTAACTTTATTACTTTAAAATTGTTTCCCTGATTTCTTTTGTGGATCTCACTGAGACTTTAGTTACCACCTGTTTGGACTGTACATGGCTCAGAGGGAGTAATAAAACCCTCTAAAAATGACCTCACGTCAGTTTTCTAGAAGTGTCACACATTTAAAGTCCATTATCACAGCCTTTCAGAACTAAAAAGCTAGGAAATTCACCTTTTAGTTTGAATATTTCTGCTTCCTGTCTGCCACGTGCCAATCGCAGCACCGAATACTGGATTCAATCTGTCCAGGGATCCTTTGCAAAAAACAAAATGATGTTGAGCCCCCACCCAGAGCTTTACTTCTACTGCCTGTTCTGGGAAATTAAAATATAACCTGCTTGCCCACCTTTGCAGGAGGTTCTTCCACATTTGCAAGCACTCAAAGTCCTTTGGGAACATGGAACCAAAAGAATATTTTCCTTGGGAGCGGGAGGGGGAGAATGAAAGGGGAAAAAAGAGAACCCAATATATATTACATACAACAGACTGAGTAACCCAAATCAATGTTTCGCGAGTTGGTTAACCCCCCAGTTCCAAGTAGTAATTGTTCAACTTACAGAGCTCCAGGTCTTACAGACCCACTACAAACCCCAACCCATTGAAAATCCCATTGTAATCAGGGGACAGCTTTCTTCCTCCAGTCTACTCTAATCCACAGAGAACTGCTCCACCAAGTACCACTTGCTCTTAATGTGTTGCTACCTGCTCCAGTTCTGTGATGTGATATCTCCATTTCTGCTGGCTTGGTGGGCCAGGGTTCTGCAAACTCAGCTGACCTTTGCTAAGTCACTACACAGTCCTCACTGAGTCACTATCTTGGCTCTGTCGGGCCTAACTTAGAAGGCAGTTGTGCTCTGCTGTTGCCACTGGTCCAAGCTGGGCCTCTCTGTAATGTCAGATCTGCACCATCACTGCCACCACTCCAATCAGACCTCATTGCAAAGTCATCTGTGCAATGCCACTGCTACTGCCGGTGTGGTCTCATAGATTCACACCACACAGGTTGCAGAATCTCGAGACGAGGAACCAGGAGCAAAACAAAACTCCTGGACTGAGAGTCTGTTCCTTGGGACACAGCTCCTGGTCTCAAGGACAGAGCCATTTTTTTCTTCTTTTCTGAGCTTGTGTTTTATTACCAACCAAAGTCCCCTATCCACAACTCAGGGTGACCCATTCACTCCAGAGCATATCTGGCACAATTCCTATGCCTTTCATTAGTAAAATATTATCATTTATATAATCTAAATAAATACAAATATCAACTAAAGCAATGGATAACAAGGTTATAATTCAAGCACATGAAACTGGCCAGAACTTCCTTTTTACCCATCTTCTCTACAAAAAGAGAAAAGTTCCATCCCTCTGTTCTGCCCCTGGAGTTTACAGCCAGATTACAATAGTGCCTAGAGGCCCCACGCTTAATCTGGGTCCCATAGTGCTAAGTGCTATATAAAGAGGTGGTAAAAGATAACCCCTGTCCAGAAGAGCTGTCTTAAGTTATCCAGAGGTTTGGAACATTGGCATGAATTCCATAGAATTGGATTAGTGGCCAGAGGGCAAGTAAGGCAGTCTAAGGTGCATGATATGTCTATTTATCAAATGCTTCTGTGATTTATCACACAGTTATCAGTTCTACAGATGTGATGTGCATATATGTAATAAAAATACTTCCAAACTGTCCAATTTTTGTTACTTCTAAATATGTGTGTGCATGTGACATTAAGCATCCCTGCATTCATACCATTCACACAATTGTAATAACCTTTGTACAAAATATGCCTTGCACGGTATCATGAAAATTAATAACTCACTGATCATTAATATTCTTGTGATGTATACATGATGGGTATTAAAAGTTATGGATATATGCTAGAATTATGACTAAAGTGTGTGTTAACAAAACATGTCAGGGGAATTTGTTAAACAGATCTAGCCTAAACAAACAAATTGGGTGGTTACTTCAGTTTACAGAGAAGCAGTAAACAGGACTATCAATATAGCAGGCGGAGGAGAAGCAGGAAACCGAACAATTTGCATTTCAGCAAACACAAGTGGGAGAAGAAAGAGCATGGAGCTTCCTTCACTACCAGACTCCATGTTGCCTTCCTCACAGTTTGATTAAGCTTCCTTTTGTGAGGTAACCTTCAGAAGACTCCATTTCAAAGGTTTACTAGTCTATAAAGACATGGGAGCTAAACCTCAAGTGATAAGCAATTGAATCAGCTGCTTTTACACAATATTACTTATTTTTAAAGTTAATTACACCGTGGTGATTAATATCATTGTGAATTATGGATAATTAAAGATGTTTTAAAGTCTGTAGCCAAACAGGGAGAAACTGGTTCTATTCCAGGTGGAAGAGAAAGAAGCAGGTTTCCTGTCTCCTCTGTAAATTAAGCATGGTGGAATCAAAACAATGGAAGTCCCATTTACATACAAGGGGAGGGGAAGATCACAGGAAGGGAAGGACAGCAT